CTCTTTCCCATAAACGACAGCACTCAAGCAAGGAGACCAGGTTGTTCTGCACCTTCTTCTCAGCTGAGGCTGCCTGGGATTTCCCTTCTTCTCCATCTCCTTCCCCCAATTCCTCAACAGTCAGGGACAACCACTCTACCTGCAGTCTTAAAAGGTAAATGAATACTGCTATTGTTCTTTGTATACCTTAAGATCAATCATGTATCATTTATTTGTGACTTTGTTTCCCTTCCCTGGGCTTAAAAAAGGGTGGTGGGGGAGGGGTTTAAGGGAAGGAGGGAGTAATAATTTTTGCCACTGCTGTTTACTTTACCACTAGCAATAAGAATCATATAGAAACCTATGGTCTTTTGTACCTGACTCAGCACCATATTTAAATAGAATGAACAGTGTCTCAAATAAATGTACTACTATTTTCCAAAAGTATGAAGGTTTTAGTGAGATGAGTAAGATAAAATGTTACTGAATAGAAATCTTTTGTCATTATGTGTTGTCTAAATCAGCAAATTTCAAATGATAAATGTTATCAAGTGGGTCATCTATCTGAAATAGTTATGAATCAATATTGTAAGTACAAGCTAGTTAAGGGAGAAGAACATAAGAACACATGCCATTCTGCAGAGGGCAAATGCAGAGAGAAATCCTGAACAGAACCAACAAGAAATGAACGAGAACTCGAACAGGTCAAATGAAGTAGAATGAAACTGGCCGACTCCTAAAGTAGATAAAATAAAACAAAAAGAATTGTGAAAGAAACTGCCCAAGGAAAGATATCTCGGTTTTAAATGATGAAATACCTCAGTCATGTGGTTTCTAATCACCTGAGAGTCCACATCAGCCTTCAATCCACTCCTTATTCCTTAAAGTCCCCCCGACCCCCAACCATCTCCTATCAACAGTGGCTGGCTACCAGGAGCAGTTGGTAGGCAAGGGAGACAGGAAAGAATATGTTAAGTCCTCAGCCTCACTGCATTATGGAGAAATATTTCCTTACAGCCCTGAGTTGAAATCATGAGAGCATTTTTCAATAAAAACATTTTGTACATTTACAATAATTTCTTAAGGAAAATGCAAATTCAGTAGTCAGTAACAAAACACTTTTTGGGACTTCCCTGGTGGTCCAGTGGTTAAGACTCCACACTCCCAATGCAGGGGGCCCGAGTTTGATCCCTGGTCAGGGAACTAAGGGAACTAAATTCCGCATGCCGCAACTAAAAAGATCCCACATGCCACAACTAAAGATCCTGCGTGCCACAATGAAGATCCTGCATGCAGCAACAAAGATCTGTGTGCCACAACTAAGAACTGGTGCAAATAAACAAATAAATAAACAAATATTTTTTAAAAAGAACACTTTTTGAACCCCAGCTCCTTTGGATATGTACAGATTTTTTTTTTTTTTTTTTTTTGGTACGCGGGCCTCTCACTGTTGTGGCCTCCCCCGTTGCGGAGCACAGGCTCCGGATGCGCAGGCTCAGTGGCCATGGCTCGTGGCCTAGCCGCTCCGCGGCATGTGGATCTTCCCAGACTGGGACACGAACCCGTGTCCCCTGCATTGGCAAGTGGACTCTCAACCACTGCACCACCAGGGAAGCCTGTGTACAGATTATTTTAATTCACAAAGGCAGTACCCCAGAACACCAGAGGAAAATGTACTGGTAGGGAAAAGAGCTGTATGAGGAACAATAGTTGGGAATGAAGACTATGATTACATGGCAATGTATATCAAAGTCCTCTAAAAATATTTTTAATAAATTTCAACTTACTAATTCAGTTTCTAGGAACTTACTCTAAGGAAGTAATCACAGATGAAAATGAAAACTTATGTACAAGTATGTTCATCATAACATAGGTAATAATTACAGTTTAACTATCTAAATCATATAATGAAACACTATTCTTCAGCCACTTAAAACCCATATTAAAATACTATTTAATAACATTGAAAAATGCTCCTCATATAGTATTACACGAAAAAATATATATTAAAAGTCTGCTCGCAACATGATTTCCCCATTTTCTTAAAAGCATTCAGATGAAGGAAAGATAAGACAAAAATAAGCAAAATCATTAAAGCAGTTTCTGTTAATAGTACTGTCAGTGATTTCCACTTTTTTCATTTTACAATACGACAATGAACATGTATTACATTCGTATTATAGGAGAACTTTTTTTTTTAAAGTATGCTTTAGTCTCTAGGAATTAGAGAGCCATACAGTACTCAGCACAAAGTAGGAGTTCTGTAAATACTTCTTGCATAAGGACTGAGTTGGTTGTCAGAATACACAGCAAAAATTTCAAGAATCCTGACTTGTTAAATCTGGAACTTTCTCTAAGTATTCCAACTATCTCATAATAATCTAGGGTATCTATTTTTTTTAAATGCAATTTATCCAGTCTACTGCAGAGCAACTAACTTAGTATTTGGAGGAGTAATGCCTCAGAACCTACATTTTTAACAAGTATCTCAAAATGATTCTTAAAGAAATAAAAATTTGAGAGTCACTATACTCTAGACAGTATAATGAGAAAAGATACTTTGTCATTCTCTTTTATTCTTGGTAGTTTGCTGCAAAAAGTTCTATTGATATAAATGATCCTAAATACCAAACACGACCAGCTTTTACCATTTTCACAACAAATACACCATTAAGCCTGTACAAAAGATTAGCTATGAGAAAATTATTCTACATTTCAATTACAAAATATAGTAAGTGGAAGATTACAGAACACATTAAAACAATATCTACAATATTAGTCTGCATTTGTGTCTAATATTTACAGTCATCTCTGTTTTAAAGTTCTAAGAGTAAACACTCTGAAGCCATACCTAATATGAAATACCATTAACTAGCTATATAATCAAAGGCTTCTCTAAGCCTGTTTCCACTTCTTTTAACACGAATACTACCTATTGAAAATGTTTGTTTTAAGATAAAATGATATGTGAAAGTATCCAGATTATATTTTCAGGCAATTAACCAGTCTTATATATAAATATAAAACTGCATAAATAAAGCAATTCCATTAGCTCAATAAATTGAAAAAAAATTCAAAAATATAGGTTTAAACATATTCAGAAAAAGGCTAACAGAAAGTTTTAAATTACATGATTAATTTCAAACATATGATTAGATTAAACTAGAAGATAACACAGTAGTTCTGATAAAATAAGCCTGGCCCATCTGTTTCCACATGAAAGTATCTGCCATAGTCTATTCCAATGCACATGGAGATACATTCCTTTCCAGAGGAAGTCAACTTCAAAAATTTAAGATTAAATTCAAGATAGAAAATTATCAAACAGAAAAAGTCTTCCTACAAAATCCAATTTTTTACTAAATAATGGTAGTAACAATACAGTAAAAATAACAATGGGTTGAGGGAAAGGGAAACCACATTCTTGTTCTAACTTTGCTTCTGCTAACTAGTGATCTTGCTCTGGGTCTGTTTTCTCTAATCCATAAAATGAGAAGATTAGGCTTGAGATTGCTAAGATTACTCTGGATTAATGCCCTATGATTTTATGAAAATACAACAACGACAACAATAATATATCTTACCAGTTTCTGATTTATTCAAAATAGATGAATAGGAGTAGCTTTGGCTGACATAATCACTGGTAGAGCCCACAGAACCTTCTCTTGGAAGTGGACCTATAAATTTGTCATGAACACTGTCATCCCCAGCACTGGAATCCTCCTAAAATGTAGCATAACCAATATTTACTGAGTGGTAAATATTGCTAAAACAATGAAAAAAGGCATACTAATTCCTGAGGCAATGAAAAAAAGACAAGGCATTACTGGTACCACCAAGACATTCAAAGTATATACCCTCACTATTTCCTGTAGGAAGGTTTGAAAGATGCCCAATATAACACACTTTGGAACAATGCTTAGGTCTCCTTCCAAAGTTCTTACTTTCTCATTTTATTTAATTCTTTTTCAAATTCTGTTTATATGAGAGAGGAGATTTCTGGTACTAATTAATCAGAGTACAACTGAGAACTCCTTAATGACAGAGTTTATCATTTATTTTTACATCACCCTTGCTAAGTAGGCCTGAAAGGTAGGGGACACTCAATAAGTATTGAATGAAATGGATAGTCTCCTATTGTCTCCAATAAGAAACTTCCTATTAATGAGGAAGATGTCCAAAAGGAGTAAGGGATATAAAACCAGCACAAGCAACTAAGAGCTGAAGACTAATTACTAAGCATTTTAAAACATGAATCCCCAAATTAACAGCTCATTTAGTTTCAATGTCAGACTAATCAAAATCTTCTCATGATGTCATAAAAATAAACAATGAGATTAAGGAAAGTCAGAACATATTCTGGCATTGCTTCTGTATGGATGTCCTGTGTTTAATTACTGTCTACTGTCCAGAGAGGCATTCTAATTCACAACAGACTTCTAAATGAAAAGCATCAAACAGAAGAACTTTTCCTGAGGAAAGTTTCATTAAAGAGAAGCGTTCTGAAAAAGTCCATAAACTCTGTGAGTTTCCTCAGTCTGTAAAGCAGCAAGGTAAATCAGACCAGGTTTTTTCAATGAATCTCTCTCAAATTGGGAGTTACTAGATTTGACGATCACTAAGGCCACTGAACCAGACAGGAAAGGCTATTGAAATATGAATTGCAGCAAACACTAAAAGAACAGAAATAAAGCATAGAATTTACAAACTAGTCATTCCAAAAAAAATGGGGCGTGGGGGATGGGGAGTGGGAGCAAAACCAGCAGAGTAGATAATTCTGGGGGTCTGTTCCCCTACCAGAAAACCTGGGCAAAACTGCCGAAGATTTACACCAACCAAGCAAATGCTTAACCAAACAAAAGGCCACTGAAACACAGTAGGAGATCCTAGACCCATCCCCATCCCTGTTCTAGTGGTGATTCTCAGTGTGGCAAGAGACTATATACACAAAGTGCTATGGATGCCCAGTGTAACCATGTTAACATACATACAAGCCAACAGAAAACAGAAAAATAATTTATTATACATAAATTGCAAAACACATCTCTCCTCCTTCCTTTGGAAAATGGCTTCCCAAGTAGTAGGTGACAGTGCACAAAAATTATGACTATAGGGCTTTCTAAAGAGTTTACCAGCAGTATTTGAGGCTGTTCACCATCTTTATCTGTCAAATGCAGAAAGTTCTTCTTTCCTGGCTCAAAATTAGCATCAAGAAGAGACTTGTCACTGGTATGATCCAGTGGAGCCTACAGGCATAAAATAAGATATCTCAGATTATGAGAAACATTAATTATAATAATAAAACAAGTAATATGTAAATAGACACATATCTACAATTACTGGGCTTAAACAGTATTTTTTTTTTAATGAAGATTCTGAGAAATTCTGTTAATCTAGGCTTGGAATTAACTCATCTATTCAGGAACTGGGATGGCTAAGCCCAGTGACAGGGCATATACTGACAGGTATCCCAGCTGTTCACATTTCCCAACATCTAAAAAGCTGAAGTACTACACAAAAAAGTATTGTAAACATTTGTTTTGATGTTCTCTGAAATGTATGCAATATAGCATTCAATGGGTTTTCATGAAAATTAACTAAAGATTATTTTATATCACTGAAAACTGTAAAAACATGTTTTGATATAGGAATATAATGAGAATTCCCACATAAGGAAACACACTAAGCAACCCAACCCAAATAATATGTAACATTGAAAAACGGGCACCTTCAGAAAGACCCTCGAAGGAAAAGCCTGTCCTAGTAAATGATACCTATTTCAAGTCCACTGCCAGTATTCAGAGGATCCCAGGGTGATAGAAGTGATCACGCCTTTGAAAACTAAACATCTAACATGTTTAGTCTTCACCCAACTCTTTTATCTGGTAGGCAATTTAAACCCTGGCTGCCATTCTGATACATTCTAGTTGGGGGATGAGAGACAGAGCTCTGCATGCTCCAAGCCATACTCACCTAACATTCCAGTCCACTGTTGAGAAAAATGAGGGATGGGATGAATGCCCTACTCTTTTGTTTTAAAACTATTTTGTTCATTAAGAAATGTTTTTAATGTTTCAAAGACATGAGGAATATCTCCTTAGAAGGACTTACTTTATGGAGATGCCTTTATTTCTTACAAAATGAACATTATATAGAAGCATAGGTATTAAGGACAAAAAAATTAACTATAAGAGATTCTGCCACTTGCTATTGGTGTGACTCTGAGCAAGTTACTTCACTTCCCCATGACTCAGTTTTTTCACCTGTGAGGCTAGGATAGCACTTACCTCATAGTGTGGTTAAAAGGATTAAATGAGGTTATATTTGTATGAAGTCTAGTATCAGAACAATACTAGCTACCCAGTAAGCACAAAATAAGTGTTAATAAAATAAACATATAATCTCACTTTGGATCACATCTAGAAATCCATGAGAAAAACAGGACAGAGAACCAGAAGCTAAGAGAAGCCACTTGAAAGGAAGAAAGGTATCTTTGGGTCCCTTATATTCTCTGATAGGAACCAGATCTCTCAGCGTCTCTCAGGCATAAAAGATCAGATGATACAGCTAGAACACATAGGGGTTTTACCTCAATAAATGTGTGTCTGTGTGTATGAGATGGTGAGTAGATAAATGAATCAGGCTTTCAAAGAAGCATACATGCAGCACTGTACAGTAAGCAGGTAAGAGTATACTCAGAGAAATGTACGGTAGGCATATTAAGACACAAAAATTAAGTACTTAAGAATAGTCACAGCTGAAGAAAGAAAAGTAGTTAATCCTGGCATAGTGCTATAGCAGATGTTAATTTAACAAACACTTTTTGAGTGCCTAGGGATAGTAACTTTGGAGGATACAAAACTAATACTATGAGGTCCTAGACGTCAAAATATATTCTATCAAGTGGAAAGACACAAATGAATAACAACTATAATAAAAAGACTATAAGTGGCATTGCAGAATAAAAAGTGCAATAGGAGGACAAAGAGAAAGATTATTTTTAAAGTGGCATGAAGAAACATCAAGTAAGGCTTCTTAAAAGTAAGACATAAACAGGACTTGGGCAAAGAGTATAGAACTATCCTTTAAATTGAAAAAGAGGCAACACTAGAAGTTATACAGTAATGTAAAAGAGAATATTCAAAGTTTCAGATTAAATATCATTTCTCTTTGTATAACTTGTTGGACTACCAATTTTACTGCCCAATTTCAGAGGGGGAAAGTTGGCTAATTTAAAACACTAGGGTTTTTTTTTTTTTTGTAAGTACACTTTTTAAAAAATTTTTATTTTATATTATAGTGATTTACAATGTTGGTTAGTTTCAGGTGTACAGCAAAGTGATTCGATTATACATATGTTGTACATACAGCTATTCGTTTTCAGATTCTTTTCCCATTTAAAAACACTAGTTCTACATTTTAAAAAATCATAAATATATTATGGAATAGAAGGCAAAATATCATCAATTTTAAAGGCACATCAAGCTACACCCAACACCTTTTATTCTTCTGCAGAGCCAATTAAAACTATGCCCTCCAAATACAATCAGGATACACATTCACTTGCCTTTAAAGGTATTTTCCTGGAAAACTTAAGAGCAGCAATGGTATAGGACAGGAAGAGGTAACATAAGCAAAAACATGGAGATAGAGAAGTATGAAATTTTGTGTTAAGAAAATAAATTAGTCCAATATCTGAGAGCTAAGATTAGATTTAAAGGACCAATTGTCTTGAATGCTAACTTAGGGAATATGACTTTTTTTTTTGCGGTACGTGGGCCTCTCACCGTTGCGGCCTCTCCCGTTGAGCACAGGCTCTGGACGTGCATGCTCAGCGGCCATGGCTCACGGGCCCAGCCACTCCGCGGCATGTGGGATCTTCCCGAACCGGGGCACGAACCCGTGTCCCCTGCATCGGCAGGCGGACTCTCAACCACTGCGCCACCAAGGAAGCCCGGGAATATGACTTTTAATCAGGGCAGTGAGCAGTCATTAAAGATTTCTAAACTGGAAGGTGACAGGAGTACTATGATTTAAGATGACTGAAGATAATTCTAGCAATCGTATGCAGGGTGAATTTGGACTGAGAGGAAAGAAAAAAGACTATTTAGAATACTATTCTAAAATACAGATGAGATCCAACTCAACAGTCCCCTTTGCCACTCTCCCACGCAAAATTGGTCAGTGCCTCCTCTTTGCACCTACAGCAAACTAATAAATCATACTTAATAATACTTAAAACATCTTAGTGTAATTATTTTTTGATATACCTGTCTCTAAAACTTTACTGTGAGGTCTTTGAAACTGAAGTCATGATACCACCAACCTTCCTGATCAGGTGTTTACCACTCTATCTGGTGCATAATCTCTGTTAATATTGGAGTGTAAGTCCTTCTATTACTTTTTTCTTTCTATATACATTTTCTCTTCTTTTCCAAAAATTAGATTATAAAATACATATGATTTTATATCCTGCTTTTTTCACTTAAATATTTAAAATGAATATCCCATTCAGTAAATGTTGGAAAATTTTCCATAGATGACACAATATTATGATAATCATCTTACATGAATAAAAAAACTAATGAAATGACATTGTGCAAACTTTAAGATAATCAAATGCTGAATCTAGAATGAAAGTAAAGTGATGAAGAGGATCCAAATATCGAGTTGCACAGACTTTATACTCCTGCTTACAATATTAAGAAGGGTTCCAGGATTTAGTATATTATTAAAAACAACAACAATAATGACTATAATATTATTAGCAGCTTAAGAGAAGATGCTTTCAGTTTAGAGTTTTACCATATCAGCAGAATTGATTCCATTCCCCCACACCAAATCAAAGGTTCCATTTATGTAGCCTACTTTGTTGGCCACATCTTCAAAGAGCTTTCTGAGAGGTGTAGAAGCTGGTAAATTTAAAGTGATCCGTTCATTCACTGTCTTTGAATTAGTAGTATCTTGTATTATACATAAGACTCTTGGTTCTTCAGCAGCATTTTCTACCTGAAATTTAAAAAAATATACTATTTATCTTTAAAGAAAAAATATAATTATGTTTTCTATGATTAAATGGAAAGAAACCCCACAAAATACTATTTTCTCTGTGTGAATACTACTGTTTTACGGCTGAAATATATTCTAATGGATATGTCAAACATATAAAGCACCATATATGTTTGTTTTGGAAAAACGGGGATATATTTAAGAATCAACCATTGCTCTTGTGGATATTTGCTTTCACCTTTTAAGGCTGTAAATCAATGATCAACAAGCCCATGAAGACAAGTTTACTTGAGCAATTTTCAGTTGAAAATAACAAAATCTGATCCTTAAAAATGTGTCACAACTATGCTAGCACAGTCAAATCAAGCATTCCTGGGTTTCCTGATGAAACAGAAAGAGAACTGTGTAGAAATGCAATGAGGATTGTCTAAGATTGCAAAATCCATAACTAAAGGATAAAAGCAATCAGGCATCCTGACCTTTACTTTGTTGTACCCACAGACCAAAAGTCCAAAAGCCCCATTTATCAGTGTGTTAGGAGCTGACAAGCTTACCCAAATAGATCAGCCAGCAGAGGGGTAAAGGAAAGCAAGGAAAAATACTTTTCAATTACCAATGTAGAAGGGAGTTAGGGTCACAAATTTTTTCATTCTTTTTTATCTAGTACATAAATCAGAGAAAAAAATTTTAAAGGAGACTTTCTCAAAGAAGCTATGCCTTCCCTCAAGCTGTTGAAGGACACGACTCTTTTTCCTATTTTCCACAGCAGTAGTGGGCTACATCAGGCACTTTGGTGAAAGAAGTTCTTTCCCTCCTCCTGTAATGCCCAACTCAATTAATGGTACCATCATCTACCAGCTGCTGAAACCAGAGAGGAGCACCTTCCTCATTTCCTCCCTCTTCTTCAACTCACATAATCACCAAATTCTATCATTTCTATCATCTGATTCCTTTTCTCTTTAATCCTGCCTGCAGCAATCAGAATCTTACCTTAAGATCGTGGCAATAGCTTCTTCCAATCTCATCTTCCTTCAATCCAGAACAGTATTTTAATATGCAAATCTGATCATGTAAATCTCTTGCTTTCCCTCAAAGTCTAGGGCAGCAGTCATTTTCTGAGGGACCTCTCGCTATCCCCATAAAAGGCTTTGCACAAATATGACCTGTACAAACTGGTACTGTATACAAGAATGTATTTCTCACCTTTTTTTTTTTAAAAAAACACAATAATATTAAC